AGCAAAGGAGGGCAGACATGTCGGGACATGAGAATGGCAGAAAAGGCGGCAAAGCCCGCGCAAAGGCAGCGGGCCAGCCTCAATTCCCACATCCCCCTCTCCTAAATTTGCCCTTTACCGGTCTGCAAAAGGCAGCCGGACGTCACCCATGCAGTTAAAATGATACTGCTATGAGCGACAGCTAACCTCAGTCTAGCCCTGTTACTGCTGCTAAAAAAAGATCACAAATGAGAAACAAACCATAAATAACGAAGTAAACACATGACACTATAAAGATAACTGCGGAAGGGAGCACAGAAACGTGGCACTAGTGTTCGTGGTGCTGAAGGGGGATAGCGTCCACTGCGCGGAGGGGCGGAAAGGCGTGACAGTGTCCACTGGGTGCGATGCCCGAGTGCGAGGTCAGAGGTACGGGAAGAGGGCTGACTGATGGCTTGTTCCTGCTCTTGATAAGCCGCGAGTCCGACGAAAGCCGCTTCGGTTGTTCGGGGCCGCCCCGCATTTCTGGCTCGATGACGGAGCTGGACGTTGCGGGAAGCCGGGCCTCTCCAGTGGTCAGGGAGGCCGAACCCGAATTGGCTGCGAGGCGCCCTGGCGTTGGCCAGCAGCATATAGCTGCTTTCAGCTGGCCTCGCGCAGGAGCCATGGTGGGAACGGCAGCAGGGCTTCTTCGACGGTGGCCGAGAGCAGAGCACAGCCAGACGGTTTGATGTCAATGGGTCAATGCCCCCCCCAACACCTCCAGTGTCCGCATCGATGAGGGGGAAGCCGACGCACTCTTCGCGGGCTCGCACTGAAGCGTCACGCACTTACACACGCACAGAAGCACGCACGCACACACACCGCCGACAGCTGCGCGAGCGTAGGCGCAAAGCGTCCTTCGTCTCTCTCTAGGCACTGCGCCGTGCTCCCGACCGGCTTGCAGAAATTAGGTGCCTTTTCTCATCTTCTAACCACTACCACCACCACCGTCTCTCTCTCTCCCGGCAAGCACCGACACTCAAGGTCACACACAGCTCCCTTCGCGGTAGACGAAACGAACGCGGGAAAAAAAAAGTAAAAGGAGCAAAATGACACTCAAGATCTGGCAAAAAAACACAAAACACAGATAACACTTATATTAGAAAAAAAACATAAAATACACATGAACACTTGAAAAAAAAAGAAACACTGGCAGCAGACACGGCGGGGTCAACTTCTTTACGAGAAAAGGCCGTAAAGAAGCTAACCTATACTGAGGCTAGACAGTAAACTGAGGGCCTTCGGTTGCGGAGAAGTCCACCGTCCGGCGCGAAATCACAAAGGTGACCGCTTCCTCAGATTATACCGGTGCGGGGTCCGAATGCGGTCCGCCACTCGGGGTGTGCCCGTTGCTTGCGCGAAGTGCCGCAGGGCACTGGCGCAAGCTGACCAGACCATTTTCCAACATCGGCGGCCACCGACTGTATCCGATAGTCTGCGTCTAGTGCACCCGCGTACGCTACCCCACCGACTCTGATAATTTACGGTTCCTTTCTTGTATAGGACTTTTTCTCGCTCACTTCGCACTTGGCTCAGCATGCCTTCTGCGCGCGTGCGGAAGTGCAAAAACCGCTGTTAATTTGTGCAGAACGAATCGCGAAGTATCGAAGTTCGTGAGGCCACGCAAACCCGCCGGCGCAGCACAACGATTTTTTTACCATGGCGGCTGATTCTTCGAACACTGCCGTGCGCACCTATCCATGCTTTGACTTCTGCGCGCACAGGCACTCTTTCCAAGTTTTCTGCGTGCGAGTATCGACCTTTCGAGCAAGCTACCCAACCTGCCTCCTTCCCGTGTGTTTTGGTTTTCAAGATCGCCCTCTGCCGCATTCTCTTCTTTCTTTAACGCAACTTCTTGCCCTTCTCTCGGAAGCCTGCTCTCTTCTCTTGATCACAAGTCCATCGCCCGTCTCCACCGCTCTGCGACGCACGCCATGCTGGCTCGAGTTACTTTCATTTTCTGACTCGAACCGGGCCTAGAGCTGTTCCACGCGTTCTTGCATGTGTGTCGCGTGTGTGCGTCTTGCTCACTCTTGGTCTGCGTGTGTGGTCATGACGGCTGACGGGAGGACTAGCACGTTTTTTCGTGCCGCTCAACAAAACATCGAAAGTGTGACCGCTTGGCCCTATCCGCGTGTTAGGTGCCGCGTTGCGGAGCGCTTGCTCATAGCTGTTGACCACCTGGCAGCCAACATGCCGCTTCGAGCGTCCCTGTATTCAAGTGTGGAGATAATGATTATTTCGTGGGCGGCGGTGACAACTACATGCGCGCGAAGCTGTTTTTGCGAGGCCGACTTCATCGACGTCGGGCCCGATGCCGAGCCTGAAGCTTCCGAACTGCGGCAACGATTTGTGGCAGCGCGTCGTCGACTCCGACCTGGGAGAGCGGGTGGGACATCTTTGCGATGGTTTAATTATGGCCGATGATGATGCCGACACTGCGGAACCGTGCACGGATTTGGGCATTGTCAATGAAGTTTGTGGCGAGAGTGATTTGGAGGAATTGGATTGCGAGAACGTCGAAACTTTGGAGTCAGTGCCTCAAGCAGCTTATGCCACGAGCCTCAGCGAACGAGCACCCTGCCATTTTAAATGAACTCGAGACCACCCTCATCGCTTCTGCTCTTCGAAACACATGTATCATGGACTTTTTGGGGCAAAAAAAAATTGTGTTTTCACTTGCAACTTTTTTTTTAAAGCTGTGTTTCAATTATTACGAACTTTGGGATACAGCGAACGGATGCCGCGTCGCTTCAGGTTCGTTATAAGCGGGCTTGACTGTACTACGCAAGTTGTTCGGCAGTTTGCATCCCCGCAGGGGTGTCTGTGCCGAAGAGGCCTAAATAAATCTTGATGGTGTGGAGGCAGCCTATAGACCCATTTTATGTTTGTAAACACAGCTAGGCCGATGTCAACATTACGAGGTAAAATTATAGCGACGTCCGCACGTAACTTCCGCCAGATGCGTTGATGGCTGCGATGTGTGCCAACAAACAAACTAAATTGCGAGATGCGACTCACATCCAACCGTGACGCAGCGGTTCGGCATACCGTTGTTTTTTTTTTTCTCTGTGCTTGACTGAGAACACAACATGACTTGAAAAACCCAGCAGAAACTGAAGTAGGCAGAGCATCTTTTGCGTTCGCAAGCTTATCCTTCGGTGGGGAGAATTGCGCGCCTTCTACTTTGACCGGAACTATTGCGTTTAGTTGCCGGGCACTCAAAGATCACTTCGCTCGCTGGACAGCCGCCGTTTGCGAAAAGTTTGCTCTTTTTAAAAACAGCAAACAACTAGGTCACTTGTTAGTTTGCACAGTACCTGTGATGACATTTCATGCCTCGTTTTTCTTTAAACGGTGTGTTAAGTGTCGACCAGTAAATGTTGTTAGTCCAATGTCGTCCTGTGTATGTTGTTTTTGTGCGGGAGCAGCATGCTGCACGCTTCGATCTGCTTGCCGTTTTCAGCGTTACATTCCAAGTTGCTGCTATCCATTCATTGCTTCGCCCTTGCAGTGAAACTGTAATTTTTTCTTCATTTCCGACAATCGTGTAGGAAATTAAGTAAGTCTGGCAGCCAGCTCTTTTGGGTCCGATGTCATAGAACTCCTACAAAATGTTGGTGTATGCAAATATGGCTGCTCCAGGGTGAAGTGCTATTTTCACACAGTCCCTACGTGTTGACACCGCACCGATACTCACCAAGATAGCATGCGTGCTAGCGATAGCGACTGCCCTTGAATCCAAGTTCTTCATAGCTGCATGATCCCACTCCCTGCATTGTTTCTTGCTCATTCAAGACAGGTGGTTTACTTTCTGTTTAGAGGATTCGACGGCAGTTCTAATATGCGGAAGATGTTATTTTATTCACTTTCCAGGCGATAGGGATAGGCCGACTCGTTTTATCCTGCTTCAGCAGCGCTCGTGCACTTTTGCCGACTCGGAAAAATTACGATGCACAGGGGCATGTTTTCAATTTGTACTTGTAGGGAACATGGCCGCGACGACTAAACCCGCCGAGAATGTCCATATTATTGCTATTGCAATAATAATGCAGCTTTTATTACTGTAAGATGAGTGTTTTCTTTTAGCACTGTCTTCAGTCTCCCTTTTCACTAATTTTTGCGTTTATTTTCCGAATTTTTTTACCGACCTTTCATATAACGAAATTGTATTTATAACGATTTTTTTCTAGACTTTTGTAATTTCATTATGTCCAAGTTTAACTGTATGTGGTTATCGAATCCAATGCGAAATAATATTCGAAACTTTCGAATATTCACACACCCTACTTGGTTTTGAAGGCACGCACAGCCAGCACCATTTTCTGTAATTGCCACACGAGAAACTACAGCCTCTGCAAGGCGATCATCACTAGCGACTACTAGTTGAGGGCACATGGTTAACGCAGCAGTAGATGAAAGGCAATAACGACGTAAGAAGGAATAGAAGTGATTTGGCGTGCCTGGCATTCAGTTTTCAATTGGTCTCAAGCAAAGCTTTGACCCACGCTTCCTTGGCAGCCATCTGCGCCATCTCGTACATTCACGTATGTCCCAGGAAGACATATGCGAATTCTTTCGTCAGAAACGTATTTTGATAGTTGTTCTGATCATGCAATATTTTTGGAGATACCATCAAATTCGCCTTCCTTCGAGACTCGCACCTTCTACCGGGAAGCCCTACCCTCATGTGTTTGGTCACTCCAAGCCATTATAAGACCACAACAGCGGTGTTTACGACCCCCTCCCGATCTGGAAGCCTCCCGAATTCAAAATCCCTGAACTTTGCAAATATGCATATGAATACGGGACTGTGAGAATATTTTGTTTGCGTCCAAATAATTTGCATCGTCAAGATTGTTATCAGTAGGTAACAATCATTGCCATTCATTCTCATGCTTATGTGTCACTTTCCTTCACTACAGTGTGTGCGACGAGTAATGTCCTGTGTGCAGCGATCGTCCCCTCCCTCCTGGCAGGGAGCAGTGCTTCGGGCGGATGCACAGGGGCCCGCCTTCATGCTCGCTGCCGCAATCGCCGAGTATCCGGCTACACATGAGCCACATGCACGGCTACCCTGCTCAGTCGTACGGGGTGGCCCCTCAACCTCCCACTTCTTCCAGCCTGGTGTCCGGCTTTGCCAGCGGCCGGTTCCACGGGAACGCCGCTCCTGCAGAGCCATTGCACCAACACGTCCACTGCAATGTGGAAATTGGAGACTCCTGCGCATGCACCATGGTGGGTTTGGGTGGACAAGGGTGTTGAGGCAGGGCACTCGTATCACGGCCCCTGGACTCCTCCTCATGCTGTCCGTACATGTGAACACTCCTGTGTAGTAAGACGTGCTTGTGGTGCATTGTTATAGTCAATTTTTTTGTTGTTATGCTCCTTCAAATATAACCAGCTGTGTCTGCTTTTTTGCCCATTTTTGTGCTGGGAAGTTGGACTTTCAGATCTAATGCTGAGGTTAGGTGTTCTCGTGAAAATCGGTTGCAGGGCATCCTATAGCACTTTTAATGAATCTTGGGTGCAAAAGTTTTTTTTTATGCATGCATTGATTTTTCAGCTTTTCCCAACCTTTTTTGGGGGTAGCATACATTAGCAGCCTGAGTAGAGACTGCATTTACCATAAACTTGTGGTATAAGGCAACTAACTCTTAAAATTTTAATTGCAAAAGTGACACCTTCTGTGCACCTCGTCTGTATTCACAGTTGGTGCAGCCCGCCGGACCTGTTGATGCCAAGACTCTGCTTCCCTCTCCCCCACCCCATGTTTCTTTAAGCTAACAGAGAAACCTGAAAACTGAGGAACAGTTGCTAGTTACAGTACACAAGTTGTGTGTTTCTGCAGAAAGCAGTGAGATTGACAGGTGATCTCTGTCCATGTACTGCGTTTTAACAATGATCAGAAAAGTTTGGAGGAGAAATTAATGTCAAGGTAACTTATCACACCATTGGACAGCAGTTAATAATTGTAATTCTTCACTTTTTCTTTTCTTGTGGAAGACTGGTGGCAAACGTATCGACTGCTGAGAGAAACTGCCACACTTGACGCCACAGCAAAAAGAGTGTGTATGTCTCGCATACACTGATGTCCACCTACTTCAGCACAAGCCTAGTTGAGGTATAGGATAGTGTTCATTGAGCGCTCCAATTGCTCGCTAAGTACCTACATTGAAAGTTTGTCAGAGTTGAAACAAAAGCTTATGGTTTTTTCAGGGTACTGGACCACCCGGTGCTGAGCCTTGCAGAACCTATGCAAGCTGTATTAGCTATGGGGAGCCATACAACATGGTGCTGGGTCACACTCATGTTTACCCAGGTGAGTATATTTCAGAGCTAAAAAGCAGAGCAGGGCCTCTCAAGTACGCTTTTCACAAGGCCGAAACAGAAAAGTGCGGCAGCCAGAAAAAGTGTCACATGGACATTATCTTAAAAACGGTGACGAATGCCGTGTTTTCACAAAGCTATGCAACCCCCATTTCTAAGCACCACCCCTGTTTTCACAAGGAATACAGTTAACATTCGGTTTTCTGGACGCCAGAAGTTCCGGACATGCCTGATTCCCGGACTTATCTCCAGCACCGTCAAGTTCTCCATAGAGTCAATGTATTAAAAAGTCCGACATTTCGGATACCTACAGCATTCGCCATCCGATTTTTCGGACTTTTTATTGCTAACCGCAGACTTGAAGTCACCATCAATGCCGCAATTTTGGTTTTCGAATCCTCGAACCCACCATTCTCTCATCGCTCGGGTACCGCGTCGCGGCTGCCATGCCCTCGAAACGGCAACTGACTCAATCCATGCACACGCCAATTCATTGCCCGCCGTAGCATAGTCATCAAACCTGTGGTCAATCCTCACTATTCGTTCACGTGTTGTTCTGTCATCTATGCAGCAGATTGTGTGCTGCTGCATGCCATCTTCAGCATTCATGTTTCCTCATCTTCTGCAGCCATAGAGTTTCTAGCTGTGTGGTGCTACGGTTTTCGTTGAGCGAATTTGCCGAGGCCGCAGAGTGGAGTGCGTGTATGACGAACTTCTATCCACAGAGGTTATCTTCGATGATCTGCGCGCTGCCGGCCTGTTGATACCAGCCGCAATAACCTTTGAGTGCTTTGCCGATGCTGACGAAAACCTCGAGCTGTAGTGCAGTTGACCGATGACGAAATCATTCATTGAGTCACAGAGGATTCCGACACCTCCGACACTATGATTGAAGAGGCAGTGCTTACACGGCCAGTGAGCTCGGAGTGGATGCGAGCACTGATAAACACTGTTATTGGTGTACAGCGACATCATGGCCATAACTGAAATTGAAGCAGACATCATTGTGGGTAATCGGAAGGCTTTGCAAAAGAAGATAAGCAACTTTTGGTGCTTAAGTCATGCAACCTGGTAATGTGTGAGCGGCAGGTTGACCTAGGTGTGAACAATGTCTCCGTATAGGCAGAGGAAAACGAAATCCGGCTGAACCCACAAAAAAGCACGTGTGTCTTGTTCTCCCGAAAGAGAGGTATGCACTCGGAACCCGACATTCAACTGAATGGTCAACATCTGCCTGTTAATGCCGAGCATAAATTCTTAGGTCTAATCTTGGACGAAAAGCTAACCTTCATACCGCACATCAAGTATTTAGAAACAAAATGTGTAAAAGCCATGAATGTTCTAAAGGTGTTGTCACATACTACGGGGGATAGTGACAGGAAATGTCTCATGAATTTGTATAGAAGCCTCATTCGCACCCGCTTAGATTATGGGGCCGTTGTTTATTAGTCTGCGACTCAATGTGCTCTGATGATGCTGGACCCCATGCACCATTTGGGAACTCGCCTTTCTTTGGGTGCTTTTCGCACTAGCCCCATGGAAAGCCTGTATTTCACAATCAATGATCAGTCTTATTGTGACCTGTTCCATAACCATCTTTCATTGAGGCAGCCTTACTCGCTTCGTGTGAGAGGCCTCGCTGAGGATACAGATAGGCCACATCTAGAACACTGTTTGATGGCTCTTGCTGCATATCTGCCGCCGTGGCAGTGGCAGCTTATAGACTGAGACATATCTTTTGTGGAAGTCGCAAAGCATGCGCCTGTTGCACACATCCGCACATGCTTTCATGAACTCCTTCATAAATGCAGTTGTTCCGAGTTCTACACCGATGCCTCAAAGACGAATACTTCTGTCTCATACGCTGCGGTCGGCCCATCCTTTTCAGATGCCGGTACCCTTCATCCTATCACAAGCATCTTTACTGCAGAAGCTCATGCGATACTTGCAGCCAATAAACACATTAAACAAATAAACCTACAAACTGCAGTAATATACACAGATTCCCTAAGTGTAATAAAAACCCCCAAAACGCTGAAAAATAAACACAAACATTCTGTCCTTGTATCTCTCTACTCACTCCTATGCACAGTATACTCAGTCAAACAGCGTGTTGTAATGTACTGGGCGTCATGACACCGCGAAGTAGAAGAAAACAAATTGGCAGACCACGTGGCTGCATCCGCCAAGCCAACCAATGCCAATAAAACAATGGCGATCTCTGCACTCGACCTGAAACCTGTATCCCCCCAGGAAACCTCAGGGCTTTTTGGCTGTGCACATGGGATACACACACACGAAATAAACTGCATGTTACCAAGCCGCAACTCGGTCAGTGGCCGGCAGTATCTAAGTCACGCCGCACACAAGTTACACTAACAAGGCTAAGGATAGGACACACATACACAACACACTCATACCTTTTGTCTGGTGATGATCCACCATTGTGTGAGAGATGTGGTGAAGCACAAACTGTGCTTCACAATTTTAAATGAATGTAAGAAGTTAGACACCTTTAGAAAACAATTCTTCGCATTAGCCTACCAACTACAAATAAGACTCAACCCTGCACTGTTCATCAGTAGGGAACCACTTTTCAAACCCGAGTCACAGCTGTCATTTTTAAAGCAGGCACAAGACTTTCAAGTGATTTACCCAGGAAATTCGTAGCACGACCTCTGAAGAGAGGTTGCTGCAACGGTTACTACAAAAACACAGCACATGCCTCCCGACCCTTGTATGCAAAGGCGTTCAAGAGGCATTTGTGCCAATACCACTTATCACCACAGTTTACCATCACGATCCTTCACGACCCATTCTCACAAAAAACCTTTCACATCACTGTCATACTTTTAATAGTGCTATGTTTTACCCACCACAGTGTGTGGAATTTTAAGGCCCTTATACAGCCACAGCCACCTACCATAAACATTGTCCACATCCCTCGTCTCATTAAATGATGCTCTTTGGCCATCATGTGGCTCTTGCACCATAAAGCACCACTCATCATCATCCATTAAACCAGTAAATGATGCTGGTTTCAGGTAGTGCCGATGCGTGTTTGTATGTTTATGTTCTGAAAATGCATCAAATGTTCAAGAATGTGTTTGCTGCGTGGCATTAATTATCTGAGCCTGAAATTGCATCATCAATTTTTGTTGCAGTGGAATGGCTGGAAAAAAAGTGTTTGTTGAGGCAAGAATATTTGTGCAATTTTTGTTGTTGTTGTAGGGGAAATTTTGTTGAAGCAGCATTCTTTGTAGCAGGGTTCGACTGTACATCTTGCAATACATTCAGGCGCATGCAAATCTAGTTTGCATTCACCTGGAGTGCTTACAGTCTCTGTGTTCTCTCCCAACAGCATTGACAAGCTTTCACGTCACCTACCTGGCTCCGCCAAATCCTCCTCCTCCCCCGCCCCTGAATTCGAGCCCTGGCCTGAACATGGGGTTGGGACAGCCAAGCTCACCGTACCAGGCGTTCTTCACCGTGCCGTCTGCACACTTCGAGATTGCGCCTTTCTCGGCTGCCGTATTTGTTCGCATGAACCCATCTCACACCAGGCTCTGGCATGTAAGGACACAGTGGTGCACCATCCAGTGGGTCACATCGACCAGTGAATACCTAAAAAAGTTCTCATGCTCATTTTATTCAGCAGAACCTCATTAATTTGAACTCAATTATTTCGAAATTTCACTTGATTCGAAGGATTTTCACGATCCCGTATTTTGCAATGTAAGCTTGTCTTGATTATTTGCAGCGGTGGCCGGCACCTGTCCGGTTAATTTGAAAGCTTTGGATGCTTGTGCCAGTTCCAAATCCCGATTCCTGCACAAATCTGCGGAAACGACGACTCTTAATAGCCACAAGGCAATGCAACGTAGCAATTCTAATGAGTTGCAGCTAAAGCACTGCAGCTTCGCTACTTCCAGAGAGAGGGAAAAAAAAGGCCTCGTGGTGAACCGAAACATGCGCCTGCAGCAAACGAGACATGCATCATTGCAATTCTGTGGTGATGCTTGGGCAGCAGATCGCATGTTTCTCGCAACTTCAGCGGGTCATAATTTACCCAGTCTTCTGGGATAGCAAAGAAATTAATGAAAGTAAGTTTGGCGGAAAACACTATGTATGCAAACCTCCAATTGCCGGTTGCTCCAGCAATTAGTGCCTTTGCAGTGCTGGCGGAGTCGTTGCCACCAACACCTACTTCGAAAACTAAGTCTGGAAGTTTCGGAGATAATTTTTCTCAGCCATAACAGATCATGAGTTTCATCATACTGGCCATTATTAAATTCCTAATTATACTAGAAAGAATGTGCGAATGGTCGCATCATGATGTGCTGACGCAGCAAGGAGCAGGCAACATGCTGCCCGCGTGTTACTGTGTTGCATTGAAGATGTCTCTTTTCTGCAGGCGCACATTGCAGTTGATTATGAATGCGTTTTTTTTTCGATGGCCGCAGAGAGGCCCATCGTTTCCTGAGTTTCTGGCAACATTAGGGCCTGGTATTGGGGGAAAACATAGCCCTTGGAGTCGCAAGCTAGCCGGCACAGCAAATGACAAGCTCTGATTACTTCTAATACAGTCGAGCCCACATATAACGGCCCCACTTAAAACGAACTTTGGCTTAAAACGAATAATATCCGCGTGACCGTGGAAATATACATTGGTTCTATGGCACAAAATCGCACTTACAATGAACATCTCGAGCGCCGCTGATCGGTTACGGCGAACGAAGTCGGCGATCTGCCGACTTCCCGGGAAACCAAATGAAACACAGCTTTTAAAAAAAGTTGCGAGTGAAAACACAAAATTTTTTGCCCCAAAAATTTCGTGATGCACATGTTTCGAAGAGCAGGAAGGATAAGGGCGGTCTCAAGTTTATTTCAAACGGCAGAGTGCTCTTCGCCGAGGCCCGTGGCATAAGCTGCATGAGGCAATGGCTCCTAAGTTTCGTCGTTCTCGCAATCAGATTCCTCCGAGTCACTCTTGCCGCGTACTTAATTCACAATGCCCTAATACATGCTTTCACGGTGTCAGCATCATCATCGGCTGTAATTAAACCATCGCAACTGATGTTCCACCCGCCCTGCCAGGTCGGAGTCAACGACACGCTGCCAAAAATCGCCACCGGAGTGGTCCTGTTGGGCATCTTCAGGCTCGGCATCAGGCTCGACGTCAACGAAGTCGGCCTTGCGAAAACAGTTTCGTGCGCCGCACGTAGCTGTCACCGCTGCCCTCGAAATATTCACCATCTCCACAGCTGAATACCGGCACGCCTGAAATGGCATAATGCGCACGCCTTGGGCGTGCGGATTATGCCGCTCGTCCGCCATTACGCGGACGAGCGGCGTGAAAAAGCCATCTTGACGACACACGCACACACCGAGAGCGAGCAAGACGCACATGCACAACACACATGCTAGAATGCGTGGTATAGCTCTGGGCCTGTTTCTAGTCTAAAAACAACTTCTGAATTCGAGTCAGCGTGGCTGGCGTCGCAGAGCGTTGGAGATGGGCGAAGGAGTTGTGTCAAGAGAGAAGAGCCGATTGGCGAGAGAATGGCAAGGACTTTCGATAGAGTGAAGAGAAGGGAGGATAAGGCAGGAAGGAGACCTTGAAAACTAAAACACGCGGGAACGAGGCAGATCGGGCAGCTTGCTTGAAAGGTCAGCGAAACGCGCAACATGCACGCAGACGTGCGCACAGGTCTATGGACGGCTGCCTGGATCGGCGCGTGCGGTGGTGTTCAAAGAATTGGTGGCTGTGGTCAAAGAATCGTGTTGTTGCGCTGGGGGGTTTTCGTGGCCTCACCGACTTGGATATTTTGTGATTCGTTCCGTGCAAATTAACAGCCGTTTTTACGCTTCCCCACACGTGCGGAGGGTATGCTGAGAACAGGTCCTAAACACGAAAAGAATCGCGAATCGTCATAGTGGGTAGGGTAGCGTACGCCTGTGCACTAGAACGATGTGACAAGACAAGATGCGGACGATATGATACAGACGATGTTGGCAAATGGTCTGGTCACTCCAGGCCGGCGATGTCGCGCCATTCCCCATAGTCATGTCCGGCGATTCTTTCTTTCATGATTCAAAAATAAACGAACAAGCAGTATTTTATTGCATCTTTTTGTGCACGAAAGGTTCTTTTTAGTGCAGCTGGATAGATTACTAGTGATCAATTGTAGGTGGTTCGTCTGATAACATTGGGATCATTTTGAGAATGTCCTGCAGCGGTGCATGTATTCTTGTGAATTTAACGAAATTGCTCATAAGCAGAGCACTGCTGTTTATAATATTGTCGTTTCAGGTGTTGTCATACATTGAGCTTTCACTCGGCGTAAATTGTTATTTGACTTCAGTGTCCCTTTAAGGGTCCCCCAGTTTTTCGCTAAGTTATTTTCGGCTGTCACTTAGTAAAGTTGCACGTATAATTGCATTGAAATAGGCAAAAAAATTATTTCATATTAAAGTCAATTCTCACATCTGCTATTATTAAAATTTTAAGTATGTTTCAGGTACTCTACTGTGTTTGCACGCACGCATTAGGATTGTTGCCACTATGATAAAAAGGTCTACTTATAATTAGGTCCAATAAATTTTTGAGTTAGCTATAGGTATGCTGACTTTGGATGTAGGCGCGTAAGCCTGTACTACTCTCATCTTGTGTCTTTTGTTCAGTTTAATTACAATACCTACCACCCTTTCATGAATGCTATAGTATTCCTCTATGTTGCCAGCTATGTTTCTGTGAATTAGGAACCCCACTCCCAGTTCTCTTCTGTCTGCCAAGCCCCGATAGCAAAGGACGTGCCCATTCTGTAGCACAGTATACGCCTCATCTGTCCTCCTAACCTCACTGAGCCCTATTATATCCCATTTAACACCCTCTAGCTCCTCGAATAGTACAGCTAGACTTCCCTCACTAGATAAGGTTCTAGCGTTAAATGTTGCCAAGTTCAGGTTCCAATGGCAGCCTGTCTGGATCCAGAGATTCTTAGCACCTTCTGCTGCGTTGCAGATCTGACCGCCGCCGTGGTCATTTGCTTCGCAGCTACTGGGGACTGAGGGCCGTGAGTAGCTGTAGTATATAAGCTATTTACAAAGGTATTTGCTAACAGAGTAAAGAAAACATTGGAATTCAATCAACCAAAGGAACAAGCAGGATTTAGAACAGGCTACTCAACAATCGACCACATTCATACTATCAATCAGGTAATAGAGAAATGCTCAGAGTATAACCAACCACTATACATAGCCTTCATAGATTACGAGAAGGCATTTGATTCAGTAGAAATATCAGCCGTCATGCAGACACTGCGGAATCAGGGCATAGATGAAGTATATATAAACATTCTGGAAGAAATCTACAGGGGATCAACTGCTACCATAGTGCTTCATAAAGAAAGCAACAGAATACCAATCAAGAAGGGTGTATGACAGGGGGACACAATGTCCCCAATGCTATTTACCGCGTGCTTACAGGAGGTTTTCAGAAGCCTAGAATGGGAACAGTTAGGGATAAGAGTTATAGGAGAATACCTTAGTAACTTGCGCTTCGCTGATGACATTGCATTGCTGAGTACCTCAGGGGACAAATTGCAACTCATGATTACGGAGTTAGACAAGGAGAGCAGAAAGGTGGGTCTTAAAATTAATCTGCAGAAAACGAAAGTAATGTACAACAACCTCGGAAAGGAGCAGCGCTTCGAGATAGGTAATAGTGCACTTGAAGTTGTAAAAGACTATGTCTACTTAGGGCAGGTAATAACCGCAGAGCCTAACCACGAGATTCAAGTAACTAGAAGAATAAGAATGAGGTGGAGCACATTCGGCAAGCACTCTCAAATTATAACAGGTAGATTGCCACTATCCCTCAAGAGGAAGGTATATAACAGCTGTATCTTGCCGGTACTTAGCTACGGAGCAGAAACCTGGAGACTTACAAAGAGGGTTCAGCTTAAATTGAGGACGACATAGCGAGCAATAGAAAGAAAAATGGTAGGTGTAACCTTAAGAGACAAGAAGAGAGCAGAGTGGATTAGGGGACAAACGGGGGTTAAGAATATCATAGTTGAAATAAAGAAGAGGAAATGGACATGGGCCGGGCATGTAGCACGTAGACAGGATAACCGCTGGTCATTAAGGGTAACTAACTGGATTCCCAGAGAAGGAAAGCGGGTTAGGGGGAGACAGAAGGTTAGGTGGGCAGATGAGATTAAGAAGTTAAGAAGATTAAGAAGTCGTCTGTCTTGCTTACGTGTTGTTCTTCTATTGTCCTAGTCACACTGTGACTTCCTATGGCTAGAAGAAGCCTTGTTTGCTCGAGCGTGTGATGATTATATGGAGACGTTTCTATAGTGCCCAGCCACAGCTTCGATATGAGAGGGGAGTGTTGAGAGAAGCGGGTTGGTTTTGTAAACTCAGGCGACCATGTGAGTACGCAAAATAGCAATGCACGTGGCATCACCTGCACCTGAGCATCTTGTGACAACTGCGACATATAGAGCACTGGGAGGATGCACATCAGCTAGTCCAAACTTGTGATGTATTGGGATGTCGATTGTCTACATTAAAACAGAGTTCATGTTGGTGGTGTGAGGTGCCCAGTTTTCTGCTCATTTGTGCAGCGTACACTTCAAAGTTGAGTTTGTCCTATGCTGTATCAGCCAGTAATATTTTCTATTAAATGTGGGTGTCCACACATAGAAATCTCACAAATTACCTGGCCTTCAAAGTTTTGTGTGTGTTGTGTACTCCTTTCAAGCATAGTTTCTAAGTTTTTGCATGGTCTAGTTAAAACTTTCCTGTTCGTTCTGTGTTCTTTCCTTCAGACTCCGCAGAGAATGCAAGAGATGCAGAGGCGGTGCATGTACCAGCACTCCCTGTACATGCAAAGGTGAGGGCCACATTTTTGCATATTAGTCTGCTTATGGGAACGATTCGAATTGAGATATGCGAGCACGTTATACTAGAATGGCTATTGTCTTGTCTTCTGGCACATTTGGCTGGGCATCACTGCTCTGACTCTGCTCTGACTGCTCACTGCTCTGACTTAGATCAAGAGCATGCGCGCAACAATGCGGCGCATGTTCTTGATCTGAGCCAGATCATGGTCGTCCTAATCTAATGTGCTGCAGCTGCTTGCACGAGCAATCGTTGGCTGTTGCTGCGTCTTCTGTTGCAAAGAAATGAAGTGCAAATCGAGTGATCCGATTTTCGTTGCCCTTCAAGATGAAGCGTGGTGCTCTGAAAGAACCGGCGGGCCATTCTCGAAGTGTTTCATTTCAACGAGCTGAATGTGACATTAGTGCTCCAAAATGACCAGTAAAATGCACCACTAATTGTATTACTTGAGTTCACGTACTTTCTTGCATATAACCCGCCTCTCTAACTTTGAACTCCCCGAAAAAAGAAAGAAAAAAATCCTCACGTATAGCCCGCATGCTTATAGTCGCAACTTCACAGTCACAATCTCGTTTACAAAAGAACTTCATTTTGAAGCAATCGCCGCAACGTTGATGGCACCAATTTCGTTCCTTCAATCATCACCCGACTCGCCACTGTCTCTGCTGCCACCACGTCGGCCAGAATCGCCCCTGGCCTGGTCATGAATCGCTGGAGCCATACACAGCTCACATGGAACTCACGTGAGATGCTTATCTCGCAGGCCAACACTAGCGCTTTCATTTGCGCCATCTCCTTTGACACAGCATGGCCCCGAATCCTCCGCTTTTCAATCAATTTGACTAACTGCGTCTCAAGAGGGGAGTACAGTCACCAGTCTTCGGTCGGCGAAATCCTCGCTTTATTTTTGCGTGTACTTTTGAGAGAGGCCTTTTTTTTTTCCCCACCAGTCGCAAGTACAGGACTTGTTGACGTCGTGGCTCCTCGCAGCAGCTATGATCTCGAGATTTTCTTTCGTGCTGTGGCCCACTCATGGTGCCTCACCAGACAAGGCTGGCCAACGTTGCAAATTGGTCACACCTGACTTAGCAACAGACGTCAAATCGCTGTTGTGACGCTTTTTACCAAATCAAACAAAGCACGCAAAAAATGAATCGACATGCTACAGATGGGATCTGGTTATGGCCTGTGTTGGCTTTTATTGGTGTTGTGTTCAAAGCACGCCGGTGTCACGAGCGAGCGAACCCGCGAAGGACCGGTTGCTGAAACTGCTTCCAGATGTTGACTCCTCCCCTTCCCCCGCTCGGCGGAAACGAGCCACCGTCGTTTCCCCCAACAGTTCGGCCGCGGCCTCCATCCGAATAGGAATAAACTTGTTTTTAACCGTTCGAGGCTGTCTGAGCTTTTTGGACTACCGCGACCAACGCGTACGTCCATGGGCCGATGACAACACCGGACATAACAGTGGCGACGAGGAAGTGAATTTGGACCAACGCTACGCAACGATATTGACAAGCTACAAGCTATGGCTACGCACAGGCTCCCAAATCGGCTACCCGAATTCAATGGCTCATCATGGTCATCGTGGTTTGGACGCCTGCAATTTTACTTCGAAGCTAACAACATCACTGATGCAGCAATGAAGAGGGCCAACCTGCTAACGCTGTGTGGGGAGCAGACATACGACACAGTCTGTGCCCTGATTCAGCCACGCACTCCAGCAGCCGTTGACTACGACGACATCGTAGCAGCGCTACAAGAGCACTATGACCCAAGGCCATCGGAGGTCTACTGTCGAGCCCGCTTCCAACGGCGAGACCAACTGGAAGGCGAAAAAGTGGCCGAATACGTAGCGACTCTCAAAAAGCTCGCTGCTGACTGCAATTTCGGGACGTTGACCGCGACAGCTGCAGCTACTGCGCAGGAGGGAAGATCGACTGCCACACCTGCTAACACCACTATGCTCCCCTTGGACGTTATGTTGCGTGACCGTTTTGTGTGCGGACTGCGTGACGAAGGCCTACAACAACGCCTGTTCGCGGAGACGGGTCTCACCTTCTCCAAAGCCTACGACATCGCCCAACGAGCGGAGAGCGCCGGTCACCAGCAGAGGGATATTCGACGGAACGTCGAGCCGGTGCATCACACCAGCCAGCAGTCAGGTCATTCCACGTCTAAGGCGAAATCAAGCAGAAAGACACAGCGCTGTTGGCGATGCGATGACATGCACGATCCCCAGGTATGTCGATACAAGACAGCGACCTGCAATTTTTGCCAAAAACTGGGACACATTAAAAGGGCATGCATCTCGAAGCGCAAACAGCTTGGACCGAAGACTTCAGTGCAACGGAACAACAATGTCGACGCACAGCAGGGCCAGACGCAAGATACAAGCCGAACAGCACTAACGTCATCGGCACTATATGACTTAAACGCCGTTACAGTTCACGATTGCCAGCCTTGCCAATGCAACCACGGAAGCCCGCCAAGAGCCCCTATTCCTGAATGGGAAAGACCAGACACGCCTTGGCACACCCTGCACATCGATTTTGCTGGACCTATCGAAGGGTGTTCGTTCCTGGTGGTTGTAGACGCGTACACCAAGTGGCTGGAGGTAAAACAAATGGCTACAACTACATCGGCAGCAGTTATCGACACTCTGCGGTCGTTGTTTGCAACGTTTGGCCTACCGCGCAAGGTGGTCTCGGACAACGGCACTCCGTTTGTGTCCACGGAGATTCTCAAGTTTTACAGTGACAACGGCGTCTCGTCTGTTACATCAGCTCCTTACCACACGGCTACGAACGGACAAGCCGGGCGCTACGTGGCTGAGCTAAAGCGCGCCCTTACTAAAGACCAGACTGGGACAATGCAACGCTGCATCGCACGCTTTCTCTTCAGACAGCACGACACTGTTCAAAGCACTACTGATCAAACGCCGGCGAAATTGATGTTCGGACGAGAAATGAGAACCCAGCTGACAGCAATTGTCCCGGAGCCCTCAGCGAAAGCACCAACGGAGGAACAAAAGCTCCCGCATAGCAGGAAAATTGAAAGTGGACAGCGCATATACGCCCGCCAGTTCCACAGAAAGCCCGGCTGGGTTAAAGCGACGGCACTCAAACTCATAGGTTTGCGGTCATGGCTCGTTGACATTGATGGAAAGGCCACACGCCGCCACCTTAATCAGCTACGCCATACAGGTAATTTGCCAAGGGAACCTCTCATTCAAGCAGCCACCTCGACGGAAGCTTCGTTCCACTTAGCCTGGCATCTCACACCACATGAATCGCCGCCGCCAGCCCTAAACACAAGAGAAACGACACCCAGCGAGCGGAGGCTTCTCTTTCTTGTTTTCTTGTTTTCTTGGTTCTAATTCTTGTTTTCTTAGTTCTTGTTGTAAAAATCTTGTTTTCTTAGTTCAAATTTTTTTAATGTTAAAGCTCACTATTCTGAATTTTTAACAGATCAGGAATTTGTTCTAGTAAAGTGGAGATTGAACTAAAGAAAAAAACCCTTTTAATATAGTGCTATTATGGACAGGCACAGCCTGTGAAATCTTTGGAGATGGTGGGACGAAGCATTATCTCCAGCTGGCGCATTTTTGTTTTGGGTGGGGTGTGGGGGAGGGTTGGGGTTTTCGAAGTGAAGTTCCGAGCAGGCAGGCATGTGCGCATGTAGTGAAAGTAGGCAGGTCTTGGAGAAGAAGCCTATCTATCGTCTACGGCCACAAAGGAGCTTGGCTCGTGTGGAAGAAAGTTGAACCTCGCGTGGATACAGTTGAACATCTCTATAAAAGACACTGATGTAATAGACAAATAAGTAGGCACAAGAACTGCTCCTTAGAGCATGCGCCCTGCAAAGCTGTCCAACGGTATAAGATTGTGAAGAGATGCAGAGCAACATGCAGCACTCGTCTTTCGACAATACAGTAGCTTCTCGATTAACAGAACTTTGTTAAAGGGAGATGCGATCTGGGGGAAAAATATGTTGCATTGCTATGTAGCCCACGCAAATCAATTTTTTGCTGTATATATAGTCTTTTTAGGCTGATTTTCATTAGCTAATTAGACTTTTTTAGAAACTAGCGCAGTTTTTGTTTTATGCCATGACAATCTGCTAAGTATAGTTCATTTTGGACAAACCCTTTTATTTCACTAAACGTTTTTGAGCCAATAATGACTCGTATTACTTTACGTTAACTGTAGAATGCAAATTTTATTTTTATTTACAAAATACTGCAGGCCCATTTAAGGGCCCCAGCAGAAGGAGCAAGATCATAACATCAAGTATCAAATAAGTATCAAGAAAGGACTTCGGCAATTTAATGAGCACGACAAATTGGAATGTGAGAATTGTTCGAATCCCCAGCTCATACTAATTGCTTACTATAGGTTTGTAGTAATTATATAGGTGATATCAAGTATTAAAGGCAGTATTGCACCCTTCACATACAGTCCTAATAATTATGTGGGCGAAATTTCGTCCCGATTGGGCTATGAGAAGTTGCTTAGAACTGGATTCTAAGAAAAATGCATTTTGAAGATACAAGTGAAAGCTCATCTATGCAGAAAAGATGTTTTTTAAGATGATTTCTGTCATCACGAGAGTTTGGCAATCATGGTTATTTTGATCGTGTAGCTTTAGGGAACTCCTGTTGCAAAATTCAATGGCAAGCAGCCAGCTGACAATTTCCAGGGGACTCTAGACAATGAGCTCTTTTTAGTTCTTCGTAGCCACCCTACACTCTTTGAGAGCAATTTTAACATACTTGAAGTTTAATTACAGTTCACAGTTTTTTTGATCATGAAAGTCTAACAACTAAGCTTCAGATAAAAGTTTGTAAATGTAATTTTGCAAAAAAAACTTTAGTTTTTCGACTTGCATGTCCTCTTAAATGGAACAGCTGCTAAATGGAACAGCTGCCTTAGCACGATTGGCATACTTGGATTCTTTGCCCGTATTCATCCCCCAGTAAACGGAACTGCTGTTGAACAGAACACATTTTCCAGTCTCTTCAGGTTTTGTTTTACAAGAGTCAGCTGTATACCTTGACAAGTGTGTACTCTCTTTTTTTTTTTAAGCCAGGTCTGGGTTATACCAGTAGATTGGCTCTTTCACAGGGAAAAGCCATGCATGTCGTAATCTTTGTGCTCTCACTTGCTCATGAATGATGTCGTTTTCTGTCCTTGCAGGCAGCAAGAGGCGTTGGCCCTGCAGCGCATGATGGAATCCCAGCGAGCAGCTGCGGGGCTTGCAGCAGGTTCTGCTGTCGCCAGTTGCCGCAGCCAGCAGCTGCCGCCGTACCTCCTTCACCAACTGAGGGACTGCCTTCGCCAGCGGGACTGGATGGGGTCTTCGTGTGCGCAGAACAAGGGGCCTCCGGTGCCCTCTTGGCACAGGGCACGAGGGACGCAGCAGCAGCACCTACCAGCTGGCCTCGATGGCAGTGGCCGGGGAGTGGGATCCTCTTTGTCTAGCGGAGAATGGTGGCGGATGCCAGGCAGCTGCAGCGACCCCACCCCTGGGCATCCAGGTGGCTAGAGAGGCAGTTGTGCTGGACCCCAACGTTCAGGCCGAAGTGGTCATCCCATCACCCACTGGGTGCGTTACAATTCGTTACTGACTTCTCGGGAATGTGGTAGAACTACAGTATATTGCCGCGTATAAGTCTACTCCGAATATAACACAACCGCCCCAACTTTTGGCCTTGAAATCGGGAAAAAATCTGCAAGTAAATTAAGAAATTAACCGCATTGACAAAACAAAAAGTTTATTGCCAGCAAACTACAACTTGAGCCTTCATGTAGGATTTGTGATCTCGCACTTCGCAAAAACTATGCTCACGCATTCCATGATGTGCCCTCAGAACAAGAATGCTTTTGGGCCTGAAAAGACCACCTGAGTGCCAGAGCCAGACGAAGCGGAACCATTTCAGCACAATCTCTTCCTTGAAAAAGGCCTTCTCGTTGACGCGAACAATGGCTTTAGGGGGGAATTTCTCTTTGAGCATCGTCTACTGCTTGAAAACAATAAAAGCTCGCAGCTTGTGGCCGTCGGCAGTGCAGCACAGCATTACCGTAAAACAATTGTGCTTATTGCCAGTAGTTGTCAGGTGCACTTGCCACTCACCTTTTGCTGACACGGTTCGTTTGCTTGGCATATCAAACCAGGCAGGTGATTGATCGGCGTTGCCGATATGGCCGAGCGTGTAGGCGTGTTTTACCTTCTGTTCACGAACGAAGTTCAAGAAGGCTTCCTTTTTCGTCATATTCCTCCGGTGGCTTTTGACAAATAGTCGTGCACCGCATCAGGCTGAGCCCATGCCGATTCATTAAATTAGTCACCCATTTCTTCGAAATTTTAAATTCACTGCAGGCGATTTTCAATCCATTTGCAACATGTCGAGCCTTCACCTGAATGTGCTTGTAAGACGCACTCGGGCCTTTCTCCTGCTGTTCACCAACCCATTCGTCGACAGTTCTTGGATGGCAGGGTATTCACCTCCTTTTGGTCATTGGAACGATTTTCGCCATCCAGCCCACGCAAAAAGTTTGTCCCTTATTTGTCGCCAACATCGCGCACATTTTCCCGGGATGCCAAATTCATGCTCCTCTGAAAGATTGCTTGTCGATTCAGTGTGAAGGGTCACTTTTCGCTAGAACATTGCACTGTAGCTACGTCAATGCATTGAAGCCATTTTGATGCGGGATAGAGCGAAGGGACCCAGAAAATGTAAGCACAGCGTGAACTTGCTGAGCCTGTGCAGAATTAATGCGCACCGCCCACAATGCACTCCAGCGCAGGTCGCGAACCGATTCAAAGCCCATGCAAAAGCCGAAGCTCTTCGTCCGGCCTCCATGCATTGTGCGTGCAAGAGGATCTCTAGAGGCTGCTTTCGTCTCCTTGATCCACCAGAGCACTTAGTACTGTATTTAGAAACGGAGTAAAATATATTAATTTTAATCGCTCTTGCTACAATATAAATATAAAATAGGTGCATAGTAATAGTAACAACCTTGGTAAACGTTGATTGCCTTACGTTTCTTTTTTTACCCCTCCCCCCCTCGTCATGTAAAAATCCACGTATAAGCCTACACCCCTAAACTTGGCGCTTTAATTTTTTTTAAATTGTCTTATATGCGGCAATATACGGTATGCATTATGGCTCGTTCAACTTGTCATGTTAGAAAGACTGCGTGCAAATGTGGACACCAGAGAAATCAAGGACACCTCAGATGCACTATGTGCGCCGTCTTAATTTCTCTCGTTTCTGTGTCTGCCCAACCTTAAAGGATCCCTGACACCAAATTTGGAGACTCTAGATGCTTGTGTTGTTTGACATTGCTGTATGTGAGGCCCCCTCTGACCGATTATTAGTGGGGAGCGTTGCCTAGAAGATATGTACAACTTGGTTTTAAAGTAAAGGTGCGTGTTCATTCGAGTAGCCTGGTGCAGCCGACATTTTATGCGGCTTAAGGTAGACAGGGGATACACTTGTGATGTTGCAGTGGTGAAGGAAGCATTGTTGGCGTCAGAGAACACTTACGGGCACGCACGATACGCCGACTGGCACTCCGGCAAGGAGTATTGTTCTCGCCCCTCTGGCTCTGTTGTCGGGCTGCTCTCAAGGTGGTTTAGGCTGCTTACGCCAGGGATGTCTTTTTTTTTCTTTTTTTTTTCTGAGGGAGACATGCTCAGAGCACCTACATCGTCCGTGAATGACCCCATTTGAAAAATTGTGTTTCAGCATAACAGAAGGTTCAGGGCACATAATCTCCACTGTGGGGCACTCAAGGTGCTGACTGCATCTGCAGACGGGGTCCCTACTTTTCTCAAAGCTCACTCTGAAAAAAATAGAATGAAACAAAACGAATTACGTCTCTTGGTGATTGAAGCCTGTGCCCATGCCCTGCTAGTCTCAAGACCTTTAGCCGTCTCATAACAGCAGGCATTCGTCTAGCCAGCCATGCTATGATGTTATGATTTCCAAGTAAATCGTCAAAAAAATTTTTTATTACAGAATCTTTTTGTTCAGTGCTCTAATTGGTTCAGAACAATTGCTGCTTTATTTGTCCAGTTAGATTGGTCTGTTATGCCAACTACTAAATTGGAGCTTGCAGGTGGAAATGGAATGAACAAGTGCGATATGTTCTGTTTAGCAGCGAATTCAATCAAAACTGAAAGATGAATAGTGGTGCAAAATTCAAGTACGAAACTAATCGTATTATATTATAGGTAGCTGTTCCACTTGAGCATTGACCCTGATATAGGAGCTTTCCATTCTCCGAGGGTTCAGCAGATATATACCTGTGTTGATTCCCTGTTGTCGATTCCTTCCATATTTAGTGCTGGGGAGGCAAGTGGGGGCCTACGCCCACCTGCATCACCACATTCACCAGCACCACTACCATTACGCACCAACGCCTCCGCAGTTGCACTCCTTCACGCCCTTGACGTTGGCCCTGCCCCAGTAATGTGGTGAGTGATGACGCTTTGGCCGACTTGCTGCAACGTGCTGGGCATTGCCACATTCGTTGTGCAATTGTGTCTAAATCCGCATGTGCAACAAGCTAAAAGAAAATGATGTGTTACACTCAAAGCTCGTGCACTGACATCTCGGAAGCAACAGTCTTCGAGGTGACACCAGCAATCTGCCGTGACAGCTTAGCGACTAAGCTGTTGCACTGCTAAGCTCAACAGTGCTGTCTACAACGGCTGCATTTCTTTGAGGCAAAGGGTTTACACTGCTTTAGATTTTTTTTATTTTTTTAAATTTTTTGATCAATTTAAATGAAACTTAGTTTATCTATATTTCTGTGCTCATTTCTAGTATGCCGTTATTTATTTTTCTAGTGTAATGTGTAGTTCAAGACTAAAATACAAAGGATTTCTTGTGTGATTTTCGGAACAACATCTTTCTTACAAATAAATTTTTAGAAGTTACACATAAATTTGCTTATTGCAGTATTCAAGAATCGGAACTCATTTCGGTAAACTGTTCTTACTGTTCGGTGACTGTTCTGAACCCATTTGAATAAAAGTTATCGTAAGTTGAACGTTTGTGGGCGAGCCAATTTCAAACTGGGGTTTCACTCGTGAATGTTTATTATACCATAATTTTTGTTCGTTGCCATGTGTCTTGTTGCATTCTGTGTTTCGAAGAGACTAATGCTATCTGCCAACTCAGGGGGGGGGGGGATGAACAAGCCGCCACCATTGTCAAGGTAGCAGGTATTGTGCGTGAAGAAGGCGATAGAATTCACAAACATTTGCTTTGCATTAGGAGTAGAAATATTTTGATGTTGCCTGCCCATGCATTATGTAGTCACCATAAGTTCGTTTCTTTCCCTTCTTCTTTTCCCGGGTGTCTCTGGGTTTGTTCTTTTTTGTGTGGTTGTACAGCCGAATCTCGATAATTCGAGCTCGAAAAGGCCCGAAAATTTGTTCAAATTAAAAGTTCAAATTGATGAAAGCTAAATGAACGGAGGGCTCACAATGCAGTGGCACATGTGCATTGAGCTAACACATGAGGGGGAAGTTTCAGAAAACTTGCGAATCACAAATTACAGGACATCCGTCATTAATTGAAATAACCAGTGATGCAGCGTCTGCACTCGTTTGCCTTGCAGCGAGTCAATTTCGCACACAGCTTGCAAGCATTTCTACTTCCGCTTCAGCATTCTCCTTTCAAGGAAAGTTGTGCACGGCAATGTCCAGGGCGACACTCTCTAAAGACGAGGATGACTGCGTCTCCACTACAACCCTCTTTGTCATAGCCGCAGCAGTGGCCAGATGTGACGAGAAAGGAGGAGCGTCTTCACGTGGTGAATAGATCGGCATTTGAGAGATAACTAACGCTGTACGGCAGCTTGCTTTCTTTTCTCTCTCTCTTTTTTCTTTCTGTCTTCACGCACGTCGTTGAAGAGAAGGCGGAAGCATGGCACAGGCGCGTCGCAGCTCTGCATTTGAGAGAAAGTAAACATTCCACTGCAGCCTTTTCTTTCCTTTTTTTCCTTCGCCCGCAGCGTTGAGGTGTCAGAGGTGCCGCCGCAAGATTGGGTGTAGGTGCTGAGGGAATTTTTCGAAGTGCAATTGTTCGAATTAACCGTCAGCAGATGCTTGCGCGTTCGAATTGCAGGGCATTTTCACCCATTGGAATACACATTGCTTCGACGGGACCGCAGCGGGAGTTCAAAATAACAGGAAGTTAGAATTAAGCCTGTTCAAATAATGAGATTCGACTGTAGTAAGATACTCAAAAATATATCTGCTTGTTTTCTATTATTGACACCCTCACTACTTGTAATCGCAAATGAATTAACCTTGTAAGCACCTATCTTTACATTTCTGTATATTATTCTTTGCTGTACAAGTAGTGGACCTATTCAGAGAAACTGCAACATGCTAACTACTTACATTGCATGAAGCATTTTCTACCCAATACCATCTTCAACATTTTCTTCTCTCTCTCTCTCTCTCTTTTTTCGTTGATAACCAGTATCTTAGCACTTGTATTTATTACTGGGTGTCTGGAGGCATAAATGTGAACTGCCAGATCAGTGGTGCCATTTGTTGGCAGAAACATCAGCCACATTGATGGAGAACTGTTACGATAGTTTTTTATCCACCTTACTGCTGGAGTAAATTTTCGATTGCACTAATGTGAATGCGTTGCCTGTTTTTGTTTTTTTAGTTATAACTGCATCAGTGCTCATTCAGGATGAAAAGCCACACATACGAAGCTTTACATGTTACTACCAACCTCCGATAACCCAGTATTATGCAATAACCTATACAGTAAAACTGATAGTTGGGCTTGTCCATTTTTTTTTTGGTCCATTTTTTGTGCAAGCTAAACAAAGGTAAATTAAAACCCATACAGCAAGCCTGCATATATATCGAACCCACATTTAACAAAATTGAATAGCTGTAAAAAGCCCTTGAATACCTATATTTTTATGCATAAATTTTATATATTTCAGGCTATCTATATTGTATAGAACTTCATTGTAATGTTCTTTAGATTCAATATATCAGAGTTTGACGATACTAGAATACTGAACATGTCAAGTTTCCCTGTATGTGCATAAGTTATTAGAGAGCTGCCAATAGTCTCGGTTTTAATGGAGGCCCATCTGTTCTAAGCTGGGTGAATCTGTTTTTTTTTTTCTTTCTGTGCCCAGCAGCAGAGGTTCCCGAACCTGTATGCCATTTCAGTGCTCTCCGATATTCCTCAGTATGTCTCACTGCCCCAATACATGCCCCTGCTGTCAAGGGATGTTCAGGTGAGTTTGGGCAGCGTTTTCAATTTTGTGGCATTACGCACAAATGAAGCACCAGTGGAAGAGCCAGTGTTAACTTTTCAGCACATTACAATGTGTTTTTGTTCCCTTGTCATAGTAGTCTGGATAATAAGGAACTGATCTTTCCAGTTTTTTCAATCTGTTTCGGTTGTGGATGTGGAAGAGGTTGTCTGCAAGAAGTTAATGACTGATATGAAACAAGATTAGTGCAATGGACGATGGAGGAGACCTCTTTTTTTTAAAAAAAAAACGTTTATATTTTGCAATGCTAGTTCTTTATTCAAATTGTTAGCTTATTTTGGCTTGCTCAATAATAATATAATACGTAATGCTTTTGGCGCAAGTGAACGATTAAGTTCGCTGCTGCAGAAAGTTTTGCACACCTGAGCACTCACTGAAGTTTGTGACGCACTTGTTCAGTTCTCCACACATAATGCTGCAAACTATAGGCTTGTGCGAATTGTTTCTTTTATTTTAGATTCGAATTGAATTTGAAATGAACAGTTATTTAGTTGTATAGCTTGATATATCCCATGCAAGTGGAACTTATACGGTATATATTGCATATTGTACAGAAAAGTGGGTATATTTGTAATAACCCCACTAACCTGCAGAACATTTTATTTTATTTTTAATTGAAACAAGCCATGTGCAAATATTTGGTTCAAAGAAAGTGGAAGTAACTTTAAGTCGCAGCAGAATTTGTTAAATTCAATTGAATGGAAGTGATAACCTGTACATTACGTTGGGTTTAAAATGTTCTGTTCATTATCGAAACGAATCAGCTGGTATAACAAGCCTTTAAGCTTAATGAACGATGAATTTATGTGACTGTAAAACATCCATTTACCTATGAAATCGGCCTTTGCGAATTTTCCCTGTATAGGTGTGTGCGCGGTTTAGCAGAGCAATCACCTTTGCTGGGGGTTGCATGCTTACTGTTGTTGTTCTTGGCCTGTACGTCTATTTCAAATACATTGAAATTTATAAGAACTTAAGTTCAACAAATCAAAGCGAATTCGAATGCTGTACTATTTGTTCAAAGTGCTCGAATATTCGTATAAGCCTGGTTGTCAGTGTCAATTGTGCTTCTTGGTCTTTCAGGAAACGATGCGGTTGTTTGAGCACCGTCGCATAGTTGTGAACCGCGGAGCTTCGCAAAACACCACTGAGCGAAACACGTTTCCCCACAAATACGAAAAGGTTGGTGTCTTTTTTTTTTCTTTTTTTTTTCTCTGCCTTCTGTTGATTTCCATCACTTGTGCGAGAAAGTCCTTGTTCTCGGGTAGAGGGCATCAGCATTTACCGGGGCTGAAATGAAAAAAAAGCGTGAACGTTTCTTCCAGAGCCAGGTGCAACGACAGTTACAACCATGAAGTTTTCTAAAATTAACTAGGGGGGACTCTGGCGCTGCGATCGTTCAGCGACACTAGGAATGATGGGTAGTACATGAATTTGCCTCATCTTCGTGCTTGTAAGCACCAAATCGTGCTTGTGTCTTCTTTTTATTGCTGTGTTTCGGTTTTGTTTCGAAAGAAAGAACGAACCCTTTTGAACTTCGTGACCTTACTTTAAATGGTAAGCCTAAAAGAATAAAGTAGTGAAGCGCAACCACTGAACATTTGCTTATTTTTTTTTTCGTGAAGAAACAGCTTCAAGCCACACTAACACGCACGGAGCCAGAAGTACGAAGATTAGACAAATCCGGGTACTACCCATCATTCCCATGCTCACTGAATCGTTATGCGTTGCAGCTCCCATAGACACTGGCACCAGAGGTGTCTCCAGTGTATATTTAAGGAACTCTAAGGTTAAGATGACACACTGGCTACGATTAAAAGCGAATAAAACCACAACGTTTCAGCTCCCGTATGGGAGCCATGTTCACAAGAATAAAGCTCTCTAACAAGGATTGAAAAGGCATGCTTTTGTTTGTTTGTAATCTTGGGTCACTGTGTTTTAATTGCCTTCATGTCTGTGCCTGACCAGATGAGCTTCCATTCAACTATCGAGCCAGGTGTCTGAGGACTGCCATATTTTAGTCTTGTGCAGTCGAATCTCATTAACTCGGACACGCTTAATTCAACCTTCTGGTTAATTCAAACTCACGCTTTGGTCCCGTCAAAGCTATGTATATTTCAATGAGTCAAAATGCCCTGTAATACAATCACACAAGCACTTGCGACAGTTAATTTGAACGTACCGAGCTCCGAAAATGCCCTCAGCACCACGCCCAATCCCGCGACAGCACCTCCGACACCTCAGCGCTGCGCACAAAAAAGGAAAAGAAGAAAAAGAAAGAAAAGGCTGCGGCGGAATGTTTGCTCACTATCGTCATCACATCGCACGGGGAGGAGGCGAAAGAAGGATTCTCTACCTGCCACAATGACATTTAAAGACTTCACTCGTGCGGACGACGACATTGTTTCGTGCGCGGAGGCCACTGACGACGAAATTCTTCGCCAGGTTGTCCCGGAGCCGGAGAGCGGCTCGGATGACGACAACGACGACCGCCCGCAGCCGTCGGCGGCGGAGATCGCCAACGCGGTGACAATTTTGTCGAGCGTTTATGGAGACGATGTCACCTTGGCGCAAATACGGGCAAACCAAATTGCCTCCAAGCGTAGTTTGAGGCAAGGCAGCATCAAGGACTTTTTTAAACCTGCCTGATGCAATAAACTTCAGATTTTTGGCGAAAACGAATTTTTAGGACTGTTCGATTTTTCGTACTTTTTTTCGGTCCCCGCCAGGTCCGAAAAATCGGTCGGCGACTGTATTTGTCATAACCCCACTAACCTGCAGAACATTCTATTTTTTTTTTTAATTGAAAACAAGCCATGTGCAAATCTTTGGTTCCAAGAAAGTGGAAGTAACTTTAAGTCGCAGCAGGATTTGTTAAATTCAATTGAATAAAAGTGATAACCTGTACATTACGTTGGGTTTAAAATGTTCTGTTCTTTGTCGAAACGTATCAGCTGGTATAACAAGCCTTTAAGCTTAATGAATAATGAATTTATGTGACTGTAAAACGTCCATTTACCTATGAAAGCAGGCTTTGCGAATTTTCCCTGTATAGGTGTATGCACCGTATGGCAGAGAAATCGCCTTTGCTGGGGGTTGCATGCTTACTAATGTTGGCCTGTTCGTCTATTTCAAGTACATTGAAATTTATAAGAACTTAAATTCAACAAATCGCAGCGAATTCGAATGCTGTACTATTTGTTCAAAGTGCTCGAATATTCGTATAAGCCTGGTTGTCAATGTCAATTGTGCTTCTTGGTCTTTCAGGAAACGATGCGGTTGTTTGAGCACCGTCGCATGGTCGTGAACCGCGGAGCTTCGCAAAACACCATTGAGCGAAACACGTTTCCCCACAAATACAAAAAGGTTGGTGTCTTCTTTTCTTTTTTTTTTTCCTCTACCTTCTGTTTATTTCCATCACTTGTGCGAGAAAGTCCTTGTTCTTGGGTAGAGGGCGTCTACATTTACTGGGGCTGAAATGGAAAAAAGCCGTGAACGTTTCTTCCAGAGCCAGGTGCAATGCCAGTTACAACCATAGAGTTTTCTAAAATTCACTAGGGGGGACTCTGGCGCTGCGATCGTTCAGCGACACTAGGGATGATGGGTAGTACATGGATTTGCCTAGTCTTCGTGCTTGTAAGCGCCAAATCGCGCTTGTGTCTTCTTTTATTGCTGTGTTTCGGTTTTATTTCGAAGGAAAGAACGAACGCCTTTGAACTTTGTGACCCGATTTGAAATGGTAAGCCTAAAAGAATAAGGTAGTGAAGTGCAACCACTGAACATTTGCTTATTTTTGTTTTATGAAGAAACAGCTTCAAGCCACTTGAACACACACCGAGCCAGAAGTACGAAGATTAGACAAATCCGGGTACTACCCATCATTCCCATGCTCACTGAAGCACTATGCATTGCAGCTCCCATAGACATTGGCACCGGAGGTGTCTCCAGTGTATATTTAAGGAACTCTAAGGTTAAAATGACACACTGGCTACGATTAAAAGCAAATAAAACCACAACATTTCAGCTCCCATATGGGAGCCATGTTCACAAGAATAAAGCTCTCTAACAAGGGTCGGAACGGCATGCTTTTGTTTGTTTGTAATCTTGGTCATTGTGTTTTATTGTCTTCATGTCTGTTCCTGACCAAATGAGCTTCCGTTCAACTATCGGTTTCAAAGCCAGGTGTCTGAGGACTGCCATATTTTAGTCTTATGCAGTCGAATCTCATTAACTCAAACACGCTTAATTCAAACTTCCGGTTACAGTCAAACCTCGTTATAACGAAGTTGAAGGGGGAGTCGTAATTACTTCGTTATAACCATTAGTTCGTTATAGCCAATATCCATTTCTACCGACAATTAGCCAGCAAGAGAGAATGTACTCACCACCGAATATCACAGCAGCCCGCCGCGCAGAGAAAAACGGTCGTCGGAAGGCAAAAAACTAGCAAAATAATAAAGAACAATGCACTTTATTTCTGCCAAGTTCAGCACACCAGCTGGCAGATCACTTCGAAGAAAAATATTCCTTGGTAGACTTTTGCCGACTCTTCTTCAAGCGGATGACTGCTCTTTCAGTGGCAGCCGCTATTTCAAGTCCGTCCTCACCGTCATCATGAGCACCAAAGAAGCGGCGCAGCAGGTGTGTCGCATCCAGCGCTTGCGCGGGCGTCGGTACGTCGGATTCGTTAGGCTCCGGGGTGTCAACACATTCGTCACTGTCATCATTATGCACCCCCGTCACCGCGCGCACAATTTCCGCATCTGACAACTCTTCGGTTGTCACCGCGTCAGCATCGGCACCGACGTACGTGCAGAAAGTGTCGCAGTCAGGCACAACGCCGGCGTCAAGGAGAGCGTCCCACGATGTCTGGGCCTGGTCGCCCGCGGCACCCTCACTGGCGACATGACCGAGATCTTCGCTGGGCTCTCCGCTGCTGACGCCAAATGAGGCATGCCGGAAGCAGTTGGCGATCGTGCTTGCCGTGACGGCAATCCAGGCAGCTTGTAACATCTCGATCGCCATGTACAGGTCGATCGTTGTCTCGCGCTTCATGCTCATATTGAGCAAATGCGGTCGATGACAAGCTTGCGGTAGCCCGACTTAAAGTTCATGATCACCCCTTGATCGAGGGTTGCACAACCGCAGTAGTGTTAGCCGGCAAAAAGCACAGCTCAATGTTTTTTAACACAACGGTAGTGTGGGGGCCGCGCAGTTATCCAGGACGAGGCATATCTTGCGGTTCTGCTTGCCCAGCCGCTCGTCCCACTCACGCAGCCATTGTGCAAAGATCTCTCTCGTCATCCAGGCCTTGTGGTTGGCCACATAACTCACTTGGAGTTTCCGCTTCCTTTGAAGCATCGTGGTGATGCACTTTTGCCGATCACGAGGGCCGGCACCTTTTCGGACCTGTCCATATTCGCACAAAGTAGCACGGTCACAGGACCTTGCTCTGTTTACCGCCCTGGCAGCGGTCACCTTTGAGGGCCAAGGTTTTTGCGGCAACATCTGATAGAACAGGGCAGTCTCATCTGCGTTGAACAAATCCCTGGGGCTGTATTTTTCGAGCAGCTGCCCAATGTTCTTCTTGATCCACGCCACTGCAGCTTCGCGGTCCACAGATAGCGATTCCCCGCTGACAGCCCTGCCGACGATGTCGTGGCGCTCCTTGAAGCGCTGCAGCCAGCCGTCACTCGCCACAAAATCATCGTTCCACGCTTTTCCCTTTTTCGTTTTGTCGCATAAAGACCCTCCTTTCAACGCCACACGCGAAGAGAGAGAAGGAAAAAAAAAAAGCTGTCATGGAGTGTTGGCTCTCTCTCAAATGCCGATCTGCGACGCGCCGGTGCCACGCTTCCCCCCTTTCTCATCCCTGCCATGTAGAGACCCTTGTCCTTTCAATGCCGTGCACGAAAAGAGAGAGAAAAAAAAAAAGTTAACAAGCTGTGGTGGAGTGTTGGTTCTCTCTAAAATGCCGATCTGCTTCTTTTCGCGTGGAGACACTCCTCCTTTCTCGTCATCCTGGCCATGCTCCGGCTGTGGCAGAGAGGGTAGCAGCGAAGACGCAGTCGTTGCTGTTGTCTTTAAAGATTGTTAGCACTGGACATTGCCGCGCTCAACTTCTCTTGCCGGGAGAATGCTGAAGCCGAAGTAGAAATGCTTTGCAAGCTGTGTGCGAAATTGATTGACTCGCGGAGAGGCCAACATGTGCAGACGCGCATCACCGATTACTTCAATTAATGATCAATGTCCTATAATTTGTGAAAAAACGAGTCTTCTGAAACTTCCTCCTTGTGTGTTAGCTCAATGCACATGCGCCACTGCATGTTGAGCCCTCCGTTCATATCATTATTTCGAACTTCTTTTAATACGAACAAACTTTCGGCCCCTTTAAGTTCGAATTATCGAGATTCAACTGTAATATCGGCACTGGCTCTTGTTGGCTGTTAATGCCATTCATGCAATGTAATTAGAAGTAACTAACAGCAGTGATAATTCATTTCTTTTGTATATACTGCTTAACTGATATAGCTTTCTTCGCTCATTTTTATAAATGTTTCTTCATTGACGTGTAGTTGGTTGGTGAGGTTATAATGTAGTTCTGGTATGCCGAGGTTTGTGAACAAATCTGCATATTCGTTTAAAAAAAAAGTTGTCGTTGAGTTAACATTGTGGACACGAATAAAAAGTGCTCATTTATTTCGACAGCTTGTTACTTTGAACTTTGTTACTATTAAAAATCCAAGATTTCCGACTCAACCCATTGGTGCCACTAAGTGTACTTCGGTTGTATTAGTGCAGCACATATAAGAAGGGAACACGACACAGACGTGCGTCTACCTTCTTTACGTCTGTGTTTTGTTCCCTTCTAATACCTACTGCACTAATACAAGCTAAGTTCATAGATGACCGACTCGCCCGAGCTAGAACACTCCTGTCCACAATTGTATGCATATGGCAGCAACCGCCAAGTGCAAAACAGTCATGAGCATCGCACTGAAAGGAAGTCTGCATTATATTGGCCATCAACATTAACGATAGATGAGGCTGGGCCAGTTGGTAATCTAACAAGCAGTTAGGAACAAACAAATAATCAATTGAAGCAATGCTTATTTCATAATTGCACTTCTATGGCCTTTATTCTTCCATTTTGTTGTTTGTGACACTGTCAGCTGCACACTTTCAGAACTCTACTGCCACAATACACAATTGTGTTGATAGTGACAGCAGTCTTGCCCATAGTGGTTATGGTAACCACATCCCTTCATAATTGGCTTGACTAGAAGTATTGCATTTATTGAAGTGTCACATGGTCTTGATGCAGGTTTGTGCAGCAGGCTCCTTTTAGTATGAAGAGTCACCAGAGCTTCCAGCCCAAGTTTTCTTCATCATTGTTGTCTTCATCTTGCAGTTTTCACAACTTAGCTAACCCCGACTGCTAAATGTAATCTTTCTTGGCTTCGATTTCCATCCCAAATTCTCGCACAGTCAACCCTCGTTAGTTCGAATTCACTGGGACCGTGAAAAATCTTTGAAATAGGCGGGTTTTTGAATTAAGGGGGGACATGGGTCTTGAAACAATTTCGCTTACTTTTTAAGCAAACTTAACGAAACTTGCCAGTCTTGTTGCTTTTTTTCTGCTGATTTGAAATATGCAATTGTTTTTTCCATCAGCCAATTAGTTCTCAAGATAATTAGAGGTAATCCGCCATGTTTTTCCGTAACAATAGAAAAAAAAGTACCGTAATTACTCGAATCTAACGCGCACCTTTTTTCCGGTTAAGCGAGTTTATAAATCGCATGCGCGTTAGAATCGAGTACGAACAAAAAAAATTACGGCCAATCTATTGCCATCGGCAAATCTAAAATGGCCGCCCCCTACGTGCGTCGACATGGCGCGTCGTCCATTTCTGCCTATGTGTTTCTCATGTGCGGCACTTCGTACGTGTGCCGAGGAGTTCGTCATCTAGTAGTGCATTAGCATCGACGGCGTGGAATGGCCGACTCCAAAAACTCGAGTGCACCACGATGCCGCTTTTAAAAGAAAAGTCATCGCGTGTGCAGAAACGGACGGAAATCGGGCCGCATCGCGGTCGTTCGGAGTTCCCGAAACGTGCGTGCGGGACCGGCGGAAACAAAAGCAGAAGATTTTCGACAGCAAAGCTTTATGCAAAGGCTTCAGTGGACCACAGCAGGGTCGGTTTCCGCAAATTAAAGAGCTGCTAGGCGAGTATGTGCTTTAGCAGCGAGCAGCACAGCGGCCCGTGACGGCAGAACTGCTCCAAGTGCGGGCTATGCAATTAGTCTTAGAAAAAGGTGTAATGCGGAGCCAGTTTAAAGTGAGCAGGTGCTGGCTAACTAACTTT